ATGTCAAGCTTCAAAAATAATCACAAGTAGGCCTAAAATATCATGCAAGAAAAAGGCCTAAAAGAGGGATAAAGAGACAAGTGACAACTTCTGGACTCAAATAGAGGAGAGCCCTTCAACAAAGTCAAAGAGGGGCTCAAAACAAGACATTTCACAGTTTATGACCAAGTCCGAAATAGCTCACAAATAAGCCTAAAATATCATGCAAAAAAAAGGCATAAAAGAGAGTTTAAACACAAAGGGTGAGGAGGAGACCTCAAACAGAGAAAGACCCTTAATCAAACATGGAGATGAGCACAAAATATGACTATTTACAATTCGGGTCGGGCCCAAAAATACTTGCAAGCAAGGCTTATAAATGAAGTAAGAAAAGACTAGTTTAGGGGAAAAGTGTGCTTACCCTTGAAGAGCAATGAACCGGCAGCCTTTGGACCAAGAAGAGGAGCTCCTAGCCTCTGGAAATTAGTTTCAAAAGGCTGGAATGGAGTGTGGATGTGTGGAACTATGGGTTGGTGTGTAAATGGTGCAAGGCTTTTAGGGTTTTGAGGCTTGGAAGATAGTGAGAGGGAGAGATGTAAGCAAGGCTCTAAACAAGAATTTGTAACCTTCAAAAATGGAGCTGGGGGGTCTGGTTTTATAGAGGGAGGAGTGGAGGAAAAAGGGGGGAAAAACCAATTCAAATTTCCCCCCCAAAGGCAACCCCCCAGATACAAAATCTGGGGGGAAACAGAGGGTACAGCTGGAAGGCATTTGGAGAGGGGATTCTGGCCGGCCAGGTTCAAAAGGTTCAGGTGGCCGGCCGGCCACCCCCCTTGGCCGGCCGACCAGGGGTCAAAAGGGTCAATGCAAATTGCAGGCCGGAAACCCCAAAAAGGTGGCCTCCCATGTGTGCACAACACAAATATGTGGTCAAAACCCAGAAAATGTGAACCAGGAGAGAGAAAAGCCAAGTTTCTAGAGGGGTTCAAAAGGGTCAAGGACAATTACTGGCCGGCCTATACATATTGGCGGCCTCCCAGGTGTGTACAACACAAATATGGGGTTTATGGCAAAAGAAAGTGGCCCCAGGGTGGTCAACATTAGCTTTTTAGTGAGGAAAACGGGCGACGGAGAGCGATGAAGAAATAAAGCTGGCTTTTTAGAAAAATTGCTGGCCTCCCACCCTCCTACAAGCTTTCTAACAATGAAAATAAGGTCTCCACCAAAAATGAACCAAAACGGATGCAAAACGGAGGTTCGGGGACCGAAACGTGCGGTCTGGGGGCCCCGAAAGCAGGCTGTTAAGCACCGGAGGTGGCGTTCGACCACGAAGTTGGTCTCTCGGGCCACAGTGTTCCTCAAAAGGGAGGAAATAAGGTGTATGCCAAAAATCGGAGCAAACGGAGTTGGTTAGGCAGTCTCGAACCGAGGCACACGGCCGTTGACTCCAAAAAACTAGAAACCGGGCTCCAAATGGAAAAAATGGCCTATGACCACGAAACGTAGCCTACGGCCACTGAGAGATGATCTACGAGACCTCTCCCTCCCTTTGGGAAGAGAAAACAGAGAAAATAGAGCCTGGTTCGTAAATCGAGGAAAGGCACGAAAGAGTCCGGAGGCAAGGCTCGCAGCCGAGACTCTGAAACTTCTGAACGAGCACGATATGCAATATCTCCGAGTGCTCAATCAGTGACGCCTGAGTCTTAAGGTCGGTCAAAAATGGGGTGTCTACAGTTGCCCCTCTTTGACAGAACTCGGAAGTCATAAGTGACGGGAGTGAATGTCAAACCCCAAAGACGACCCATTTTTGACAAGGCCGAAGACTTAGACAAATAGACAAGACAAACAGAGATGTGCCCGCAGGCAGGGGCAAAGTGCAACCGACAATGCAAGAAGCCGAAGGTAACTCAATGATCATGCAAATGCAGCAAGCTGTAAAGAAGCACATATTCACAATAGATGTAACAGTTTTAAGCAAGAATGCAAAGCAACAACTACATTTCATGCAGTTAAGAATGCGGAGAATTATTCAATTCTCGCCACGTCTCACACGGAGAAGATACAATACCTGCGCGGTTCGTCTGGTCGTACCAGCCTCAAATGAACCGTACATACAATATCGTGCCCTGAAAAGAGAGAGGCTCAACAAGCATAACATTGTTAACAACATGTTTTCAAAACGATATTGAATGCAGACAATCGCGGCGTCGATAGAACAGTGCATCGCAATGCGAGGAGTAACACGCGTGACAACGCGGGTTAAGCATGAGGGTATGACAACACCCGTGAAACGTGCACAATAGTATGGGTGGTGTGCATGAGAATGCAAGTGATGTGCGTATCAATGCAGAACAAGTGTGAACTCGAATGCGAATTTGTCGTAAAACGACGAGCAAAGAAATGCAAGTTTTTGATGAGAGTGACTCAATCGCGACCTCCGGTTTACCTCCCGGAGGGCTCGCAGCATGTTCAAAAAGGATACATCTCACTTTTGACGAGTAACGATGGGAAACGCATCGAAAGTTGAAGTTGAAGTTCTGGTAGAGCGATTTCGCGACGGAAAGTGCACTTCTCTTGTACTTTTTCAGGTCCCGGGGACTCCAATCCTCTCCAAAATTTGCAGAGAGCTTGGTGGTGGGCACCTGGGGAACACCACCGGCCAACTTTATTTCCAAGGGGAGGCCACCAGCTAGGGTTGAGGGAGAGGGATGGCTGGCCTGCCCGAAAAGGTGGCTGGCCGGCCACTTTTCCAAAACCGTGGGCAGTTTGGTCTTTTTGCCCTCATTTCCTTAAATCCATTCGGCCAAACACTTTTTCCTCACAACTCCAACTCCGAAATTGCCTCCTTTACCTTCCTAGAGAATTTTCCCTCTCAGATTTGTGCTCTATACGTGTTTTCCAACGCCCCACGCAAGTTGTTTTCGCGAAATCTTTCAGTTTTCGTCACTTTGGACCGATTAAATTTTGATTTCGGTGCTTCTTTTCTCATTTTCACCACTTGAGGCAAGTTTTTTTCAACATTTGGAAGATTTCCTCGGGGGTTGACTTTTGTTGACTTTTTCATTTCCCGAGAGTTGACTTTTGTTGACTTTTTCTAATTTTGGCTCATTTTGGTCATTTCCCTCATGGTGGAGGTCCTCCGGGAGCCGGGGATGATCCCGATATCATGGCTCTGCCTCTGAGGGTTCGACCCTTCATACCCGAGAGGTACGACCCTCCGACACATGTGCTTTCCCAGGCAGTTTTCAACTATTTTACCGATTTCGATGATCGAGCACCCGAGGATCTTTTATTGCAGGAGCCGGAGTCCCACCTCTCCCATCAGGCACGAGAGGTATTTGCTTCGCCTTTTTTACATTTCTGCAATGTATTCCGCATTTTTGTACGTTTCATGCCTCTTGCTATGCATATCTGCTCTTTTTAGCACGTGGCTTGTTCTGACGCTTAGCCCATGATACAGTATTCTGTTTACATCTTGAACACATAGTTCAATCACTTGAATTTCTGAACATACAGTCCATGAGTTGAAGGTGAACACACAGCACACACACTTGTTAGAAAGTTGAACACGCAGCCCAAACTTTGAATTTTCGAACACACAGCCTGAATGGAGGGTGCACACACAGCACACACAGCACAGAAGGTTGAACACGCAACCCAAACTTTGAATTTCTGAACACACAGCCCAGATTAAGGTGAACATGCACATAGCCCACTGATTTTGAAATTTGAACACACAGCCCAAACACTTGACTTTCTGAACACACAGCCCAGATTGAGGGTGAACACACAGCACACACTTGACAGAAGGTTGAACACGCAGCCCAAACTTTGAATTTCTGAACGCACAGCCCAGATTAAGCTGAACACGCAGCCCACTGATTTTGAAATTTGAACACACAGCCCAAACACTTGACTTTTTGAACACACAGCCCAGATTGAGGGTGAACACGTAGCCCACTGATTTTAAAATTTGAACACACAGCCCAAGTTGAAGGTGAACACGCAGCACACACTTGACAGAAGGTTGAACACGCAGCCCAAACTTTGAATTTCTGAACGCACAGCCCAAATTAAGGTGAACACGCAGCCCACTGATTTTGAAATCTAAGCACACAGCCCAAACACCTGATGTTGAACACACAGCTCGATCTTTGAGATGAACACGCAGCCCACTGATTTTAAAATTTGAACACACAGCCCAAACACTGAACGTCGAACACGCAGCCCGAACTTTGAGATGAACACGCAGCCCACTGATTTTGAAATTTGAACACACAGCCCAAATACTTGATTTGCACGCAGCCCATTGCATTGTATCCATTTTAGTTTACACACAGCTCATACATTTCATTTGCACACAGCTCATTTATTTCATTTTGAGACTGAATGTATGTATTCATTCTGAATACAGGTGACCTCCCGTATAGCACGAGGATATGGCTCTGTTGCGGCTAGAGAGTGGTATGCTGAGCTTCCGGAGGCTGTCCGGGATTTGGTTGACTTGGCAGGGTTTGGGCCCTTCTGCTCCAGGATATCTCGTTGTCCGGCTAGTAGGACACTGATGGGTGCTTTAGTGGAGAGATGGTGGGACACCACCAACTCCTTTCATTTCTCTGCCACTGGCGACATGACTATGACCCCATTTGACTTCGCCGTATTGACCAGCCTTGATATGGGAGGCTGGGCGATCCCATATAATGAAGACATGGGCCAGTGGGAGGCTTCCTGGATCTACTTGTTGGGAGCTCGCCTGCCAGTTGACAGATCTTCGGGCAAGGTCGAATATACTTGGTTTTCCTCCCATTTTCGAAGGGTGAAGATGGAGCCTGAGACTCCTGAGGAGGTAGCCCAGTATACCCGCGGATTTCTGATGTTCCTCTTCGGGACCACTCTGTTTGCCGATAGGGGGAACACTGTCGGACTTTATCTGTTGAGTGCCCTAGTGGACCTATCACAGGTCCGGCGGTATGATTGGGGTGGCGCCAGCCTGGCCACTCTTTATTGCTATATGAGTGCGACCTCCTGCGGACGGGGGAACATACTTGGCGGTTATTGGAGAGCCTGGGAGGTACTTTCTGCCCCCTTTGATTTACATTTCTTCTTTCATTCTCTGTACACTGCACACACGGTGCACTTTACACTTTGTATCTCTGTACTTTGCCCTCAACATTCTGTATTTACAATTCGCACTTAGCATTCTGTATTCTGATGGCTACTGCCCTGTTTTCCACAGCTATGGATCTATGCGTACTTCCCGACACTAGCCCCGGAGCTCGAGGTGGCGATGCCTCCCATGACCCCTTACTCGCTGGTATTTGAGGGCCCATACCGGCCGAGACCTCGGGAGTCTCTTCTCTATCTACGGCAGTACTTTGACACAGTACGGCCATCAGAGGTATTGCAGAACTCTCAGTTCTTCATGTTTCCAATCTTTGATTTATCTTGCGCATTTACGATTTCTGATCAGCTTATGCGTTGGTTACCCTCAGATCGCATGGCAGCCTTAAGCGCTTTTGGGTAGTGACCTTCGATTCCGGTTTGCCAGAGCCTGGGGTTCCTCTCGGTACAGGATCCTGTTAGAGGGGCCGGTCGGCAGGGCCTAGTTTTTAGGGAAGCGCTTCCTGCGCCAGACATGGGGCTACCCCGTTCAGGATGTTCCCTCAGCACCTCCAGACGACATGCGGATCGCTGATAGGCTCCCTCCGCAGGGTGTTGTCGACGCCAGGTTGGGTACTGATGCATTTCTTCATCTGGAGCAGGGAGAGTATGCGACTTATCGTCACACATACTTGATGCCTTCGTTGACGGGAGTCCGTACCCCGAAGAGGAGATCCGCTGGTATGCCTTTATCGGGCCGAGCTCGGGCTGCAGACGTCCCTTCCACTAGCAGGGCTGGTACATCCAGAGGTGGGGGTGGATTGGTTCCCCCGATTCCTCCGACTCATCATCATCCTGGGTGGCCAGACATGCCGACCGAGCTGACGGGATGGCGATTCGGGACTCCCTACTTGATTCCGATAGAGCCTCTCATGTCTGACCACAGATATGTCAGAGATCCTGATTCGCCGCCGGTATGCTTTATAGCTTTGATTTATCACTCAGATACTTGGACATTCATTCCTTTACTGATATTTTGCATTTGTATCTGTAGCCTCCGGTCGAGTATATGGATGAGATGCTCGGGATGATGGCCGCACTCAAGGGCATGGTCTTACGGAGAGAGGCACAGTTGTCCATCATGGGCGTCCAGGTACTCTTTAATTTTCTCTCATTTATCATACTTCCGATGACATGCTGAACTTGATCATTTCACTACATTGGTAGGTTGCCTGTGTAGAGCACATCTGACACACACCACATTCATATACTGTATCTGCATGCACCCTCATTTCATATAGTCTGCTTGCATCTGTATCTGATACACACATTTGAGCTGATGTATTCAAACTGCACTTTTTATTTTCAGATGCCTCCGGTATATCAGCCACAGACCGGGCCATCTCGACCTTCTCGGGGAGCTGGGCCATCTCGACCTTCTCGGGGAGCCGGGCCATCTCGGCCTTCTCGCGGGGCCGGGAGAGGGGAGTCGTCCCGCAGACGCAGAGCACATGTCGTAGAGGAGGAGCCCGATGGGGACGAGGAGGAGGAGGCTGCAGATCGTCAGTCAGAGACATTCGCTGATAGAGAGGAGGGTTCCGACCCTGGTTCCGGGAGTGGAGGGGAGGCTGAGGAGGATCCCGAGGATGACAGTTCCGACTCAGATGGTGCCGGTGGTGTAGAGCCTGTTCCGTAGAAGAGGACGAAGAGGGCCTCTTATTCCTGCTCTTAAGAGTATTGGTGCAGTTGTTTCCTGCTTTATTTACCTTTTTTACCAGTAGTTGTAGCACATTGTACATTATTAAGAAGTTTTATTTTCTGTAAAACTTGTACTGTTGTTGTAAAATGTTGTAACAAAGGAAGCATGATGGAATGAAACAGCTTTTCGAAAAAGTGTCGTACTTTATATTCTCAGCATCGCATCGCGTCATTTTGCACAAAAATGAGTTTAAACGGTAAATGTGCATTGTGTATTTGCCAAGTCAGGTAGCGAACTGACACGACAAACTAAACAACCTAACTTACTAAGAAACAACGAAACCTCAGCAAGTTTACAACTTGATAAGCAAAACACAACAAAACTGATTAAACAAGGAGTAACAACCTTGACAAACAAAACTCGACAGCTCGACAAAACTTAAAAACTCGATAAACAACACGATTCAACAAACAAAACAACAACTCGATAAGCAAAACAATAACTTGATAATCAAAACAATGACTCGATAAGCAAGACTTAACAAGAACTTGATAAACAAGGTGTATTTCGGACGATCTGGGCGACAGAACGCATCCAAAACTGAGGAAAACTCGCGCCTTCAACACTCCCGATGCATGGAAATGCTAGGAACTTCCTTCCAGAGGGTAGAACAGGACCAAAGACACAGATTGCAGCCTGGCCAGCCACCTTTGGGAGCTGGCCGACCAGCTTTTTGCATTTGAGGGGAGAGAGGTGGCCGGCCTACCAGAAAAGGTAGCCGGCCGGCCACTTAGCTCAGCAACCACCAGTTTTTCGAAACGTGTCTCCCCGAACAGTGCCTTATCCCCTTTAAAAGTCCTAGCTCCGTGGCTCATTCATTCCATCTCAGTTTTGCACCAAAATGGAAGCGTTTCTCGTCGAAAATCTCACAGCTTGGATTGCTTCTTTAGACGGCTCGAAAAAGTTAAACTTCCGGGGCTTCGACTTGAATGTACTATTCACGCTGAGCCGTACTCCGCTACACCTTCCCTTCCTTCATGCCGCGGTGAGGTTTTGGAACCCGGTAACGCATGTCTTTAGCTTCGTCGGCCAAGAGGTATGTCCAACTTTCGAAGATTTTCAAGTTTTGATGGAATCTGAAAGTTATGAAAAGATCTTGCCTCAGTTTCGCTTTGGTTACGCCCAAGCTTTAGGGCGGATGTGTGGACTCACCACGCATGACGCTCAGTCCCTGATCTGTAATGGGGAACTGGACATCCTCGGATTGATTTATCACTTTTCTGACGTCGGTGATCGTGGCGACCATCATTGGCAAGGTTTCCGACAACATGCCCTTTGCTTGTGTATGCTATCTCACTTTCTGCTTACGCCGGGCTTTGGTGGATCTAGCATTCGCCTAATTGAAGTTGCTCAAGGCTTGAAGGATAGAAAGAGTTGCATTGCGATGACACTGGCTGAGACGCTGATGGGCTTGGATGCTTTCCATCGCCAGGAGACAACCAGATTTGCGGGGAGTCCACTACTGCTGCAGGTAATGTTTCCCACCCAATCTCTCATATGTATTGCTCACATCACTCAGCCCTCAGGCTCGGTTTTTCTCACAAAACCCTTGTCTTACTTTTCTCTCATCGTACATCTCTCTATTCTTCATTCTCTCATTTTTCATCCCTCCCCAGGTATGGTTGATGGATAAATTGCAGGTTGTGGACTCTTGCCCAGCCTACTCAGCTCGAGGTTACTTCTTCCAACAACGCCTAGTTGATGCCCTTGATGAGGGATGGTGGTTCAACTGGATGTGCAATTTTTCTACAGATCGCATCGCCTGGCGCCACCCTTGGCTCAACCTTCCGGCAATGAGCTATAGCATGTTCCGGCAGACCGGGATCCAGTTGGTTGGTCTGACTCACTGTGTATTCTATATTCCGTTCCGGTTCCAACGCCAGTTCGGCTATGATCAGACTTGCCCACCAGAGGGGATAGAGTATCCGGTTGCCTTCCCAGTTCGAGGTGCACAGCTTGCCCGATATGCCATAGCATGGAGGACGAGAGAACTCCTGGCCCCCGCTCCCACTTTCAATTATACTTTGTCTGACGAGTGCTTGGATTGGCTCAATGAAGAGGCACAGATTGGGCCCAGCTTGCCATCAGAGGCTTCGACCAGCTCTGGGAGGGGGCGTAGGAACACCTGACTTGACTATTCCCCGGATTTATTGCTTTATTAGTACTTTCAAGTTTTTCTTTATGAATGTAATAAAAAGCAACTTCGATTGTATGCAAGAGCAGAAGAACTCTGTTTTGAAATCAATGAAATTGAAGGTTGTGGTACTGAAAATTTTCCGCTTTGGTCCAAAAATGGTCTTAGTTGTAAGAAGATTAATTGAACAAAGTCAACTTTTACTAAAATTTTTCAAAACCATTTTCGATAGGGATCAGAACTGGACATGCCTGAGATCTGTCACTGAGATGCACAACCCCAGATCCCTGCAACTGGAAAGTTGCCCCTAGTCTGAATAGCACCCCGGCACTGCGCAGCAACGGAAAGTTGCCCCTAGTCTGAAAAGCATTGCACCGGAGATTCCAATGGATGCTGGTAGACAAAGATGACTGAGATGATCAAATGGACAGAGTTGATCGGGGAAAAGTTTATGGCTGAACTTCAGGATGAAGTTGCCTACGTATCCCGATGATGGGAATCAAGCCTTACATAGTTCAGGCTTAGGTTCACTCGAGTATTTTCACTCTCCTTTTACGCTCTAACTTTTGCCAAGGCCACCCTTTGCGAGTTTTCAACTTTGCGAGCTCAGTTTTTATATTTTTCCAATTTTTTGTGCTCTAACTTTTGCCTAGGTCGCCCTTTCGGGTTTTCGGTCTAGCGAGCCTCTCAAGGGTAGTATTTCTTCAACTTGTCCATGTTGATCGGTTGGGAGAACTCTAGGCCATCTAGATCCATCAGAACCACAGCTCCACCTGACCAGATAGCTTTGATGATGTAGGGACCAGTCCAATTGGGTCTGAACTTGCCCCTTGGGTCGTGGATGGGAGCTCGGTTGTCCTTGAGCACCAAATCTCCTTCCTTTAGATTCCTGGACTTGACTTTCTCGTTGAAAGCCCGGGCAATTCTGCGCTGATAACCTTGAACATGGTATAGTGCTTTCAGTCTTCTCTCATCAAAGAGCGTGAGTTCCTCAAACCTGCTCTGCTGCCAATCTGCTTCGGCTATTTGACACTCAGTCAATACTCGTAATGACAGAACCTCAATCTCGATAGGTAGAACGGCCTCCATCCCATAAACCAATGAATACGGAGTCGCTCCGGTAGAAGTTCTAATTGAAGTCCTGTAGCCCCACAGAACAAACGGCAACTTATTTGGCCAATCCCAGTAGGTTTCCACCATCTTCTGCAGTATGTGTTTGATATTCTTGTTGGCGGCCTCGACCGCTCCGTTGGTTTGCGGCCGGTATGTGGATGACTTATGAAAAGCCACGTTGTATTTCTCCAACAAGTCAATCACTTCCTTCTTGAAGTGGGAACCGTTATCTGAAATAATCTCGTTTTGGACCCCGTAGCGGCAGATGATGTTGTTTCTGATAAACTTTGCAACGTGTGACGCCTTCAACACGGCATATGATTGGGCCTCGACCCACTTTGTAAACTAATCTATCGCGACTAGGATGAACTCATGCCCATTCGTCCCCTTCGGAGTGACAGCCCCGATCACATCAATTCCTTAAACTGAAAATGGCCATGGCGAAGTCATGTTGTACAGCTTCGACGGCGGGAAGTTCATGCGGTTTGCATGAATCTAACACTTGTGGCATCTCCGAACAAAACCGATACAATCCTCCTCCATGGTGGACCAGTAGTAACCCTGTCTGAGGATCTTCCGTACTAGCATTACTCCGTTCATATGCGCACCGCATTCTCCTCCATGGATGGCCTCCATTAGGTGCTTCTATTCTTCGACATCGGCACATAGCTTATGCATTCCTAGATGACCTCTCTTATACAGCTTACCCCCACAGATGATGAACTGAACGGCCATTCTTCTGATTGTCCTTTTATCCTTGGCATTTACCCCTGGTGGGTACGCTTCTTTCTCCAAGAAATTCCAAATGTCGTAATACTAGGGGTTTTCGTCTTGAACCTCATCTATAGCCGCGATCGACTCATAGGCTGGCACAAATTTCTAGTCAATGATGACTGGACGCATCCGAATTCCAAACGGGATGTCTATCATGGAAGATAGAGTTGCTAAAGAATCTGCGAACCTGTTATTCTCTCTTGGAAGATGAGCAAAGTTTAGCTTCTCAAACCTAGGAATTAACAAGTCCAAGGTCTGGTGATACATCATCATTTTTTCTTCTTTGACTCTCCAGTCTCCTTTTTCCTGAGACACAATAAGGTTCGAGTCCCCGATGACGTCCAACCGTCTTGCCCCTAGTTCCAGG